GTTACGACACCAGGCCTTGCCTGGAAGGTGTCCTGTGACCGTGAAATGTCTACCTGATGCCATCTTGATGGAGTCGCAGATGTTTTGCCCATAAATCTTTGGACTCAAAACATTGTTAAGAAAATTCTTTTTTTGGACACCTGAGTGGCTCGGTCATTAAGTGTCTGCCTTCAGCTCAGGTCATGATCCCAGAGTCCTGGGATTGAGTCCCACATCGGGCTCCCTGCTCAGTGGGGAGCCTGCTTCTCCCTCTGCCTGCCGTTCCCCCTGCTTGCGCTATCTCTCTCTCTCTAACAAATAAATACAATCTTTTAAAAACTTATTTTTTAAAGAAAATTCTTAATATAAGTTCATTGTTCATAGCCCTCTGATCCATATTTGCCAATGAACTATTAGTATTTGTGTGAACACACACGCACGCGGACATGGCGGAGAAACAGCCATAAAATCAAATGAGACTTTAATACTCTTAGCTGTGGTTTTCTAGTTGTATTTTATGAAGCCCAAAGCTTTCCAGTTCTCAACGCCCAAAGATTCGAATTCAGTCTTCATGGTCTCCTCTGTGTGGTCCTCAGTCAAGGTCCTTCTTGAAGCTGTAGTTGGTGGTTGGAATCATCTGAAGGCTGGTCCCTTGCACTCTGGTGCCTCGGCCATGTGAGGACTGGGACGATGTGGGCGTCTCTATCTCGAGATGCTTTCTCCACATGGTTTATGCGGTGTGACAGCTTTAGGGGGGCTGGACTTCATACATAGAGAAGCAGTGTGTCAAAGGTACATGGTCCAAGAGACAGGAAGCCAGGCAGCCTCGGAAGTCAGGCAGCCTCATGTTCACCGCCTCCCTCCCATCTGTCAGGCGGTCCCAAGGGTGCATCCAGGTTTAAGAAGGAGAAACAGACTCCATCTCTTAATAGGACGAAAGCAACACTATTGTGGCCAATTTTTGGAAAATACAATTCCATTCCACCCACTGGACAAAACAATTCACACCCATCCCACACATGAAATACAGTCACTCCCCTGCCAAACTCCCCAAAGCCTTCTTTCCCTCACCCCACAAGGCCCAGGCCCAAAGTCCCCATCTGGTTGTCTGGGTCAGACCTGGGCTTCCTGGCTGCTCAGGTGGACAGCTCTTCCAGGATGCCCCATTCTATCTGAAGACAGGCTCTTCTACTCCCTGCAGTAAGCAGACCCTGGAAGGATGGGTGTGGATGCTCTTGACTGGAGACGGGGAGCTTGGGAGGCACTCAGCAGTTCCGAAGGACACCTAGGCACAGGTTGCTCATGACTTGAGTAGGATTGAATCCTGGTGCAAATGATTTTCCATGGCTCTTAGGCCCGTGCTCTGCAATCTTGGCTCACCTTTGAGTTATAACTCCTAATCCACTCGAGGCACCTAGTTTGGGGTTGATAGTTCTCTCAGCCTGCTTTCTGCTCATAAAATTTTGAGGCACCAGAACTCTCCATTTTGTAATGACTCTGCCCCTTTCGGTGCACACCAATACAATTCCTTTAAAAGCTTTGTGAGTTTCGTGTGAGTCAATTTGTAATCCCCTCCAATGGTGAAAAGCCACAGACACTAACTGTTTGAGACAACCTCTTCTCTACTCTGGGCTCTCTATGGCAGTTCTGTGGAGCGATACTCTTGATGTTCTTAGAAGGCCTGTGGTGGTGCTGCTTGGGAAGGATGCATGAGGCACTGCTTCAGATCTCTCTGAGGTCTTGATAAAGGGTTTCGAAGTCATGACCTTGACTTCATCTTTAGCTAGGTTTTCAGTGAAATGCCCCAGATTTCATCTCTGCCTGGAAGTCACGTCTTCACTTCAGAATTATCTGCTGTCTGGACAGCCATCAGTGAGGAGCCATGTTATTTTCCAAAAAAAGAGAGAGAGAGAGAGAAAGTCCTGGCTCCTTTATAGTTACTAGCTCTTTCTTTCACTTATGTCTTTACTCTCACGTTTTACTAGAGACAGCTAGAATAATCCAGAAGACGGCGTTCACACTCTGCCCGCAGCCTTCCTTCGCTAGATCCTCCAGCTCCTTGAGCATGGTTTCTGTTTTCCACGTCATTGTACGGGACACTGTTGATAACCCTTTTGCGGTGGCCTAATAAGGGCCGCCTTTCCTCCAGCTTCCAGCATCTTCCTCACTTTTCTGGAAGCTTCCCCAAGAGCGTTCTTGAGGATCACCACGCTTCCGCTCACACTGTCTTCAAGGCTCCTCCGATCTTCCAAAGCTGCTGCCGTACTTTTCAAGTTACTTTGTAGCAGCACTCCACTGGTACCAATGTCGGCATAGTCCTCTGTCGCTGTGTAACAAACCTTGGCATAGTCCTCTGTCGCTGTGTGACAAACCTCCCCAAACTGCAGTGGCTTAAAAGAACAGTGATGATGATCCTCTCTCTCCCACAGCTCTAGCAGCTGGCTGGGCTGAGCCACAGCGGTGGTCAGACAGTGGCTGGCACTGGAATCATCGAAGACTCAGTTCACTATATATTTCTGGTGTCTAGGCCGGGGAAACCCAGACAGCTGAGGCCTGGAGCAGATGGGATCACCTGGCATCTCCCACCTCTAGGGCCTTTCCACAGGTTCTCCACAGCAGGGCTGCTCCAGGGTAGACAGACTTCATGCAAAAAGATCAGGGCCCCCAAGACGCATCCCAGGGGAGCAGGAGTTGGACAGAAGCTGTACTGCCCATGAGCCAGCCTCAGAAGGCAGGTGGCTTCCCCTTTGGCATAGTTTATTCATCAGGGGGCAGTCACAGAGGCCCTGCCGGTTTCAAGGTTCTGGACGAGCGTGTGGGATTGAAAAATATTGTTGAAGCCCGTTTTGGAAAATACAATCTGCCACAAATCCTTTAAATTATTCAAATCTTCAGAGCAATTCCGTAATAACTAATGTTAAAAATTTGTTTGGTTCATTAACTTTCTAGAAGCTCATGAGCTGCTCTGTTTTAGCACACTGAAAGCCTTTGGAATAATGCTTATGAATTACAGAATTGTGCATTTTGGGTATTTTCTGCTCTTAGAAGTTGGCTACTTTGGGGAACCCTGTGTAATACTGGCTTACAAAGATGTCCAGGGGGTTAGAAAATTAGCTTTGTTCTTTTCCTTTCTCTCTTGGATATCTCCCATTTGATTCGTGTTTACAGTGTGCCAGAGTAGAAGCTGAGCACTTTCCATACAGTATGTCTCCCTTTTATTCCTCTGAGTTAATAACTGATATCACCATTTTGCGTGTGACGATGCTGGAGCTTAGAGAGATGTTCCCAAGACCTCTTTTAAGTTATAGTTTGCACCCTGACCCCCCCAAACACATACACATAGTTCCGTGACCCCCTTATTATGGCTTGGTGTTCCTGGTCCTCATGGAATGTATCACATTCCAACACGCGAGAGAATTTACTCATCTGTTTCATTTACTTGCTTTTATTGTCTGACACCTCCCGCTAGGGCAGAAGAAGGTACGGAACATTCTGTCTGTGTTCATGAATGTGTCTCAGTTAAATGCTGCTTGAATGCACGACTAAGTGAATGACTGCATGAGTGATGGTCACTCTGGGATCTGAATCCAGATCTGACTCCAAAGTCCTTCCTTTTAGCCACGATACCCCACTGGTGCCCCACGACTGGAGACAGACACTGCTGTAATACATGCATAGTGACAGAAAAACCTGGCTGCCTCAGATAACTCAGGAACTCAGCAAAATTAGCTGCGCTTACATTACAAATTCCTTCAGATTAGTAAAATACCAAATTAATGAAACAGTTCAAGATTTTCGAGAAGTTTTGCTACTTCAGCAAAACTTTACACAATTTTCTGAAATTAACATCTGTTTCCAGAGAAATTATAGTTAATAAGAACGCTATTACAATATATAGTAAAAATACATTAGAAAAAGAAGTCTCTTGAAATTTTGGGGGGGGCAATTTTTTTTAACATTAACCTTTAATAAATGTTTTAGGGTCATATTTAAGTGGTTCTTCTCCCTCTTTCATTGTTTTTCTGAATATCTCCCGTTTCAACCTAAGAAGTTTCCACCATAGAATTTTGTTTTGTTTTTTTTAAGATTTTATTTATTTATTTGACAGAGAGAGAGAGTGAGAGAGAGCGCACACAAACAGGGAGAGGGCCAGAGGGAGAGGGAGAAGCTGGCTCCAGGGAGCCCGATGCGGGACTCCATCCCAGGACCCTGAGCCGAAGACAGACGCTTAATCAACTGAGCCACCCAGGCGCCCCAACCTTAGAAGTTTTTTGTTGTTTTTTGTTTTGCTTTGTTTTGTTTTAAGTAATCTCTATGCCCAGGGTGGGGCTCCAATTCTCCACCCTGAGATCAAGAGTCACGTGCCCTCCCCACTGAGCCAGCAGGACACTGCTCCACCTTAGAAGTTCTTAGTGAAATGTTGCGCTCTTGATGTCCCTGTTAAATATGTGTTTCTCTTAAGGATTCAGGTATGTTGTAAAACTCACCCCAAGCATCGTGTTTCATAAAGTTCTTTTCTAAGAAAATAATCTCTCCATGCACGTTGGTGTTTTGTTGGTGTTTTGTTCACTGTATACCCTTTACAACGCGCTTAGGCATTTCCTTCAGGAAGCATCCATATGCTACTAACTAGCTCACGGGCTTGCTGGCCCTAGTCTTTATTTTCTGGTCTCTAAAATCGTGAGGACAGGTTCAGCCAACACTTACTTCACAGCTGTATCAGGCCCCAAGCGTTCAGGTCTAGGAGGTTCCAGCAGCAGATCTGAAAGGCCCTTCCCAGGGCTTCGCCAGGACCTCCCCCCTTCGCAGGTGGCTGGCAATCCCGGGCGCCTTGCTGTCCACATGACGCCTTCTTCAACGGGTAGCTGCGGCCTCCAGCTCCAAGATCTGAATAGGTTTCCTCCTTGGCAGTCGGGGGGCTCTGGAAGGTGGAGGGAGGCTGGCGGGTGCTCGCGGGGCGGGGGGGGGGGGCCCGGGGTCTGGTTAACAACTGCCATCCCTCCGCCCCTGTCCCCCTGCAGTGCTCACCCGGCCCCGACCTCACAGCGACGACTACAGCACCATGAAGAAAGTTCCCCCTCGCAAGCCCAAGCGCAGCCCCAACACCAAGCTCAGCGGCTCCTCAGAGGACATGGCGGGCGGGCGGCGCCGAGGGGGCCCGCAGCGCGCGCCCGGGGTCCCCGCGCCCCCCGCGCCCCCCGCGCGCGCCCCGCCCGAGCCCGAGCCCGAGCCCGTCTACATCGAGATGGCGGGCCGCGCCGGCAGCCCCGAGCAGGCCGAGGCCGTGTACGAGGAGATGAAGTACTTCGTGCCCCCCGAGGCGTCCGCGTCGCCCCCTCTGCTGAGCGACAGTCGGAACCCCGTCACCTGGGAGGACGGCGACGGGGGCGGACCGGCCGCTGGGCCCTGCAAAGACGCGTGCGACATCCCGGCCCCGTTCCCCAACCTGCTCCCTCACCGTCCGCCGCTCCTGGTGTTCCCCCCGACCCCTGTCACTTGCTCCCCAGCGTCCGACGAGTCGCCCTTGACGCCCCTGGAGGTGAAGAAGCTGCCCGTGCTGGAGACCAACCTCAAGTACCCGGTGCAGGCCGAAGGCTCGAGCCCCCTGTCGCCACAGCACGCCAAGAACCAAAAAGGCGACGGGGACAGGCCCGCGTCCCCCGGCCCGCCCGCAGCGAGCGGGTCCCCCCTTACGCCGCCGCCCCCTCCGGCCCCCCCGGCCCCCCGGCCGCCCACACACTTCGCCTTCCCCCCGGAGCCCGCGGGGAACGCTGGCCGAGCGGCGGTGGCCAGCCCCGACGTGTCCAAAGCGCCCCCGCCGCCCAGCTCGGCGCCCGCGGGGGGCCCGTGCAGCTCTTTCTCCAAGGCCCCCTACTCCCCCGGGAGGGCAGCCAGGGCCGAGCACCGGAAGGCCAGCGCCAGCCCCTCCTCCCCGGGACCCTACAGCCCCCCGAACTGCAGGGCGCTCGGCAGCCCTCTGGACGAGCTAACCAGCCTCTTCAGCTCTGGAAGGAGCGTGCTCCGGAAGTCCGCGGCGGGGCGGAGGATCAGGGAGCCCGAAGGTAGGGGAACCGACACACGGGTGTGCACACTGAGATGGACGTCCATCTCGGCCTCGGCGTCCGTGTGCTGAAGCGCGCGCGCACACGTACACACATGCACACACTGCGGGAGGCCAGTGACTGGCCATTCAGGGCAGATGACAGCGTGAAAAATCGTATGCAGCCGATGTGGTCAAGTAGGTAAGAATCCAGATTTCCATTTTGCACGGAAAAGCTCGTGATATGAAAACACACCGTGCTAAAACTGGGTTCAGTACGTTTTTATGACTTGTAAGTATTGGAGCAAGACGAAATTTGAGCTGTTGTTCCCTTTTCTCTAATAATGCTCCCTTCTAACGCGGAAGTGGCATTTTTGTAGCATTATCTGGCCGATTCCCATTTGATTCAGGGTTCACCATGAATGCCTGAGTGTCCTTCTGTCTGGCTGTCCATCTCACTTCCAGGCCAGGTGTCTGGGGTGAAGACCTGCCCATCACTACCTTGTACTTAATACTGCTCACCTTGATATTGCTTTGGATGAATGATTTTTCTTCTGTTCATGTACCACCCACGGAGCATTTTAACTCCCATCTGTGAATTCCTGTATGTTCTCATCGAGCAGCTCAGCCTAAGGCGTGGCTTGCACTGACAGTCCACTCACTTAGTGAGCAAAACCCCGGACTAGTGCAGCCACAGGCTGTTGCCTGTATAAAAAAAAAGGGAGTCTTGTATTTTGTGTTCCTATAAAAGCGGAAGGTAGCTAACAGAAAGATCCCCATAAGGAATTTTTGCTAACCACATGCTACTTCATTCAGATAAGGTAACCTTTGTGCCAATGGTGTTGTTTGGCAAAGGTTCGCATAATAATCACAAATAACGTAAATCATCTTCCCAAAAAAAACCTCCTAAGGCTTTTATACAAAACCAAGGTATTTCCCAATGTTCTGTGTTTTGAGGAAAACTTACGTTAATATAAAGCTTCTTCTCTTTAAGGAAGTTCTAACAGGTCTCCTTAGTCATGATGCCATTAATACCCACCCCTTCGGGTAAACGGCAACTATTAACATCCTCGCTTTACAGACTGAGATGGGAAACTTGGAGGTGAAGAGGTAAAGGCCTTCTCAAGGTCAAGTGGTAGGATTGGAAATAAAATGTTGCTTGATGACGTAACTTTTTATATACACATTCACTTGCTGTCTCTCCAAAAGAAAATACATAAACATGTTAGCTTTCGTTATTTGATTAGGAAAATTACTTTTCCATTTAGGAAAATTACAAAAACTCTAGAAAATCCAGAAAGCAATCTGAATAAGTGAAAAGTAGATCAAGGTAACAACACTTAGCAAATGAATAAATAACCTACTCCCTATTTATTCTTCAGATAAATATGCTAATTGTTTGTTTTACTAACACTTTAAGTATAGAGCCACTAATAAATGAAATTGTCTTTGTCAGTAGAAGAATGTTTGAATTTCACAAGTCATGTATTATATTTGAAGGAACAAAATGGAATCTACGAGAAAAGCATTAAATGCACAAATTAATATTTGCTTTTAGAACTAAAAGTTAATTAAAACCTCATAAAGCTCATTTTACCATAGTTAGGAATTGGGTGAATTCTTCTTGACTCTATTCAGGAAAGTGAAGTGAACGGATTTCTAGACATACCTCATCATCTGGAAATCCCTGAGCTGAGGACTCAGTGTAGTGAGAAGTACAGTGGAGCCTCCAGGCACGGTGCACGAATTTGCTAATTATATTTCCCTGTGGCGGAATTAGCCAGTATTTGAGAACACGTATCAAAACCTCAAGTACAGCACTGTTAGTTCAAATCTAAAATTATAAAATACCTATTTTTCTACCGTGGGCTTTTACAAAACACTCTTCATTTGAAAAAATTGGCTTGAGTCACTTATGACTTTCTCATAAATACATGAATTGGCAACTTCTGCCCCAGCACGGTAGCTGTAATAACCAAAAATTTAACAATATGAAACCAGGTCATCCTCACACACCAGATTACTGGAGCTCCAACTCCACATTTGAAAACTTGGTAATTCTTGATGGTCCGTATTGTGGGAAATAGGTTTGCGCGTTTGCATGGCATGTTCTCATGGGATCTTACAGGTTGTTCTTTTAGAATAAAGGGGGCTAAAGATAAGATGTGGAAGAGAAAAGGTCTTCATGCTGAAGCTAATCACTGGAGCTGCTATATGATGATTAAGGTTTACACAATTTGATCCCGAAGTCAGTAATCCATTTTCTTCTGAATGAATTGAATGGCTCTTATTAATGATTTACTGTAGTCTTGGGATTTCTTCCCTTTAAGGCTTTAAATCATCTACTTTACCCTCTTTATATTTAAAGATATTCTTATTTTCACCTGAAATGGCTTTCTTACCAAATAATCCAGTGGGTGGCTAATTCACCCTCCAGGCACCTAAATTAATTACAGCTCATTTCTTGGATTTGTGGTCTGGGGAAATTGTTCTGCAAATTTTGCAGAAGCGTTCAGGATATTCCCCTCGCTTCTTTGGAAAGTGACCTTGAGGAGATTACACTGGTCCCTGTTACCCTGCTGTGGGCATTTCCAGTTAAAATAGAAAGGACAAGGAGTTGTGTGTAGTAACGAAGTCATGAAGTCCTGTGGTGTGTAATTCTGCTCCATCACTATTCTGCAGACTTAGATATAGGATTTCACAAGTATTATCTTCCCCCAAACGGTTGATTTTCTATTGACTTGAGGGCATGCGACCTGAGGCATATGAAGTCACTCAGATTCTAAGAATTCAGGATGCACGCGTGCAGACAGAAGGATGCGAATGGTGATGGGCCCACAGCCCCAGAGGAATAAGGCTGACAGCCAATGGCTGTAGTGCCTATTGGGCAGTTATTGTTTCCAGGACCCATTTAATTCTCTCAAGACGAGAAGCTCTCTGCTACTAAGATCCCCATTTCACAGATGGGAAAACTGAGGCACAGAGCAGACCCCCTTGCTCTCAGCGCCATCCTCCTGCGCGCGACGTCACATGACTCGAGTGCAGTGATTCTGCTGCAGAAGCAGTTCTGTTGACCAGCACGGTGGTGCCTCAGACAACAGGAAACAGGACAAGGGTTTAAATGTTCGCGTTTGCTTGCCTGAGGTGCAACAAGTCGGAGTCCTAGAGTTGGGGTGGAGAAAACAGTTTCACAAATTTAAAAATGCGAAACACGTACGTGACAGCTTGGGAGTATATATACGGTTTTGGAATAGCGTATGTGGGCCACTTGGCCCTTAACGTTGAGAGTGACTAAATGTTTAATTACCTATGCCTTTCTAGATGCAATTATCCCATTCAGTCACAAAATGCTTTTCATCTGATATAATATGACTAATATTATGCCAATTATTTCTAGTTGCTTAGTTTCAAAAATCGTGAGACCTAATTCGAATGGAAGGAGAGATTCATTGGCTTGTGCAGGCCACTAGGGTGCTCCATTGTTCCAAATGGTATCCCAGAGTCCGGTTGTGTTTATCTAGAACATGAAATAAAATGAGCATGTCATTCTCCACTCTTTGAAAAGACCAGGCTGATAGGACTTTGACAAAAATGCGGCACACCTCCGACATCTGGAGAAGGAAGGAGGAGAGCCCGGCTGAATTAAGGAAAAGTCTGATTTGCAGAATATTTTTACAAAAATTGTTTTACTACTTTTGATATTGCTCATCCATAGTTTATAAGATATAAATAGGTGGTTAAAAATGCTGTAAATAACAACAAAACATGTACAGAATTTCTTGGCATATAGATGTTTATTAAATACCTATTTGATGAAAACCTACCTGAAAAAAAGCAGCTCGACATATGACTGTATTTAATAGACCTAGCCCTTGAGGTATTTTTGCTTAAAGAGAATCACCCAAGCAAATGGAAATCACTGTTCATTTCAAATGCTTTATTTTATTGCATACACATTCTGAGTAAGAATATTTTGAGTTTTAAATCAGTGTTCTATAGCTGAACTCTCACAGTTTAGTATTTTATCCCTTAGGGCCATTTGTTTAAAAGGGAGTTCTTTCTACAGTTGGCCTTATGGAAAATTTCAAACATACGCAGAAGTAGAGGGAATACACGAATGAACTCTCTCCATGGCCAGTCTTGCTTCATCTCCAGTCTCTCCCACCCCCCTTGCTCCCCACTGGATTATTGTGAAGTGCATTCCAAAGTCAAGTCAGTTTATTAATAAATATTTACAAATATTTTATTAAAAAGTCCTTTAGAAAAAAATAAAAGAGTTACATCACCTTAATTTGTCCAGACCAGTGGATCCATTTCAGCCCTCACTGACCTGAGCCTGAGGCTCCGAAGAGAAACCCGCTTCTGGAAACCAGGGCATCATTTTTCATGATAGAGACAAAATGATTCTCAGGGGTTAGCTTTCTACTGAAAGAACACTGGCCCGCGAGATCTTCTACACGGGCTTCGAGGGCAGCCCCTGAGGTGGGCAGCTGGTGCAAGCAGCCCCCCGTACTACCACAAAAGATAAAATCCAAAAGGGTGGATCTCTAAATATTACACCCAAACAGAACTAAAAGACCAACGTTCCAAAAGACATACAGTTGCTTCTGAAATCAATATTTTATGAGGTGTAGATGCTTCCATGCCGAGTTAAGTAGCTACTTATTCATTGTGTAGTAACACGAAGAATGCTTTAAAATTGCTGAAATGTCATGAAGTTGCTGGCAGAAGTTTGACTTGCTCGAGGGCGATGTCTGTAAGCTGCCATTCCGTCCTCGTGTTTGAGGCACAAGTTTGGACACCATCTTCATGCGGTCTCTGACACATGCTCCTGGGATCACTGCAGAGGAACCTGCTCTGTTCATGCAAATCTCGACCTCCCAGAATGGGATGCAGAGCTTGGCATCCCCTAGGCTTCCTGCCTCTATGCGGGTTCTTCGAGCACTTTGTCCTGGGCAGGGGCTGCTTGTCTTCCTCCCTCCCTGCTCGGTCACACTCTCCGTCATGATTTATTTGGGGGTG